GTCTTAGTATTTTCTTTTATTCTTACTATTTGCTTTTATTTTTGTTGTGACTTTTTACTGCCTTGTTTTGTGACTTTCAATAATCATATCAAAATGATCAGAATATTTTGTCACCATTGCTGAGATTCACATGCTGATTCTTCATGTCTATGAGTGCCAGAATTGAAACCTCTTCGTGAACCATATTTCTAAAAGTGGCTTATAAAGTTTTCTAACATTGTCACCTCATATTATAGAACTGCATTAATATAGAAATCATAAAAGCACTTCAGATTTTGATAAAATGCAATCAGAGACTCAGATGCATGAAATTATTTTATCGTAAGTTCTTTGCCATCACATATGTGCTTTATAAACATTATTGTAACAGCCAAAGATAAACTTATATTTAAAAAGTCAAGGGTCAAGAGGCAACTGAAGCAAACACTATTCACCAAAACAAAACAAAAAAAACATCTAAACATTAATTCTCAATAAAGAACTTCTGTTTTAGATACTCCAGAAATAAAGTCTAACTGGTTAGTAATGCATGAAGCTGGTGATGTTGTTTGTGGAGTTGTTTAATTATCTTCTACTGAAATCTTGAGAGATTTAATGTCTTTTATTTCAGTTGATTTCATCTTAGGCTGTGGCTGAAGTCAGTTGTAGTTCTTGTGTTTCTCTTTTCTTCAGTGATTCTGCTTGTTAACAGCAGGTGTTCATCACTAATGCTCAATCAGCACTTAATTAATCACATAATTATCTCATTAACTTTAACACTGCTTCAGTGTTACTTTAACACTCTTTTAGAGTGGGACCATATATGCTCTGAGCAGTGTTAATTTAACACTCAGGATTTTACTGTGTATTTGCAACTAATAGCACTTGATAACCTTACTAACTATATAGCCTATGTTGTGCTTCAAACTGTTCATTACTAATGATTTAATAATGTAATGTAAATGTCTGTGCGTTGTCAAAGAAACAAAACTGCAAAAGAAAGATAAACAAAAGATTAAAAATTATATGAGGACAAAGATTAAAAAAAATGTTTTAAAGTAGAAATAAAAAGTAATGAAATAATGTAAACATATAATGTAATATAACAAAATCTAAAATCTAAAATAAAATACCTTATAGAATAAAATGAATTAAGCAATATCAAATTTGTCGTCTTGTCAATATACCAGTACTACTTGTTATAAATTATGGAATGGCCACATGAGAATAAAATGGTATTCATTCAAAATAAACTCAATTTCAATGACAATTTTAAATGTTTCCATAGAAGCACTTATTTGAAACTGATGCCATCTAGTTTTGTCACATGACATAATTCAGCGCCAACTTTTGACTTCCAACCTGGTTAGTCATTTTGTTCGGCATTTTAATTAACATTTCACGTCATCAGCAGATGATCAGCAGCATCAAAATTAAACGGTTATTGATGTATTGGTATGAACTAAAAGATGCAATGGACTGGTTTTTAAATTTTTGGTTAGATTTATCCTACATCACAAGATGCCCTCCAATGAGTTTGACGTAGAACACAGCCTCTAGCAGTGCTAGAAAAGATCACCACAGTTCTCAGTCTTCAAACAACCAGTTAAATGAAAAGAAAAAAAGCTGATGAATGCTATAATCAGGCCTCCACTCAGAGGGTTTATAGCCTGTGTGGCCTGTATCACTTACATCTGTGGTCTCAGTGGGTGGCAGACAGCACGGGAGTACTGAAGTCGCTCCACAGCCACACAAACAGAGGAAATTTTAGATTCCTGTAGCTCTGACAGAGCAAACAGCATTGAAGTCACTAAGTACTGGCAGGGTGCCTGCTGAGCCCAGACTTCTGACGTGGATCTGAAATAATGGTGTATTTTCAGAGTAGCCTTTCAAAAATTTACCTTTGTGTATATTATTTTGTTTTCTTGACTTAGAAAGTGTTATAACCCTTTTATTTTAGACAGCATTTTAGGGTCCATGTCAGGCCAACTCCTAAAGCTGTTCTTCCAAATTTCTTGTAAGAATGTCATTTTCATTCTTGACATGCTACAAACTGCTGTAGTGGCTTTTGGTGACCCATTTGCATTAGCCAATGTCAATGCATTTCTTTCTAAACAGTACCAGAAAAGGGTTCTTTGGCTTGTAACAATAACAGAACCCTTTTTAGTGCTAAATAGAACCTTTTTTATAGGGTTCCATATAGAACCATGCTTTGAAAATGCTATATAGGACCTTACTGGTGTTACAAATAACCTTTTTAATGATAGTTTCGCATTAATATTAGTATGTTAATATCATTAATATTAGTATTATTTGTCTATATTATTTATTAATATTGTTTTTTACCCCTCTATCGGCCTGGTATTATAATATATTGCAGTGTCTATTAGGGTTTTACATAAAATCAAAAACAACAACAACATGTCAATTAGGTACTTTTTTTAATGACGTGAAATTGTAACAAAAATGACAGTGTTCTAACAACAGTTAATAGCAGAATACATTAATGAATGACAATGGACATTGAACATAAATAAATGCTTAAACAAAATATAACATAAAATAGTGTATTGAAGACGAAGCAATACATAAAGAACTAAAACACAAAATAAGAACAAACAATAGATGTGATGAAGACCAAGTTTCAGTGAAACAATCACAATCCAATTTATTATATTTTCATAAATCTTATATTATTATAAATTCATTGTCTCTTTTACTTACTTCGTGGAGAAGAGGAGAGACGTTTCCACAGCTTAGCAGAGCTGCACACACTTATATGTGACCAAAAACTAAAACGTTAGTAACCGAGCACGTTCCCTATTGATACTTCACTCGTACTGCGTCTTGCTTAAGGCGCTATGGGGAACCAGTACAATCCCGCCGTGCTATGCTAGAGGAACGACTAATACTTGAACTTGCCTTGAGCACCAATGGGGCCCAGAGGGACCAAGTATTTTGCAGGGAAGCCCCGCAGGAGGCGATAGGGCCAAACTCACAGAGGTCAGCCCGGCGCTGAGTAATCGTTCCAAGATAAGTTGTACAGCCTCGGAACCCAGTGGCGGCCAAGCGCGAACAGTGAAGAAGGCAAACGCCTGAAGCACT